GCCTCTGTCATTGTCCGTAAAGAAAAGATGAGACAACGAGTTCAGGAGTTCACCAGAGTTCACGGACGTAAATTTGGTGGGTGTCATATTCGCTTCGCGGAGTATGTCTTCAGGAAGTTTTAAAAGGAACTCGCTTTGACCGAGATATCTTCAAGAAGAAAAACACTTAAACTATCGAGTAGTATTCACGACGTTATATTTATAAAAGAATATTTATTGATCGTAATTTTCAATTTTAAATATCATATCGTTTAATATATTTCTTACTTTCTCTTGTAAAATATATATATATATATATATATTTGTTTGAATAAAAGATTATGTTATATAAGCGTAATACTACTATCGTACTATTTTATAGAATATAGGCGGTGATAGGTTTCGTAAAATTTTAATGATAGAAAATAATATTGAATTTACGAAATTGCGTGTAAACTTGGAAATATCTGCGTCACACAAAATAAATATAACCGTCTAATTGCAGAATTAGAAAAAAAGATTCCCGTTTTGCAATTATCTTTCAGTTATTTCACGACCTATTATTACATAACTGTTCCGTGTTGATGCTTTATTCAAAGCATCATCTATTTTCTGAACTGAAATTCTTTGATACCGAATTCTTCCCTGATATTTCCTAAAAATTTTTACTCAAACTTATGATATTACGTACTATATGTGAATGTGTTATCAACATTTGTAATAGAAACAATTGATCCCGTGTCGTTGTGAAGGTACATAAAAATAGATTGTAACAAAGTTGTGGATTTAAAAAAAAAGGAATAGAAAGTACGTAATGACCATTGTCTGCTCGGCGCCTACTCGCAAGTATTGATGGTATTTACTCGCGCTCCTTATAAATGGAATATCAATGAGATCGGGCGCGTAACCCCGGGTCGGCATTATTTAACGTGAGCACGTCGTACACGTGACAAAGTGGCTTGACCGCTTGTCAAACAGGCACAAACATGAGCTTTCATGGCTCCAAAAGACCGGATCGGTACGGGTCGCGTCGCGTGGCGTGTCGTTACCGTTAAGCACAGCATCGAATTTGCACGTGCTCGTTCCTTTGCACACACCCACGTACGTTCATAAATCACGAACGGAGCATTAAGAGCTTTGTAATTTGGTAGAACTTCGATTATTCTATTATATTCTAGATGAAACTTCTATTTATAGAATTTGCATTTATACGATCGTCTATTAAAACTTTATAACTCACTATAAATTAACCTATAAAGTAAAAAAAATTTAATGATGATAATATAATTTGTAACATTATAATAAGAAGTAAAAAAAATTTATATCACAACAGATTCTTATACATTATTATTTTATATATTTTAACATTTACGTCACTGTTCTATGCAATAGAATAAATAATAACTGATAATAATACAAATATAAAAATTGTGATATAATAATATCTTTTATAAATAACTTTATTCGTAATTAAAAATTCAAATTTTAAGGAATACGCGCTTTTTTTTAGTGTTCGATGAGTTCCCTATGATATATTTCGATATATATCGATACAGCAAGTAACAAAGATTATAATATCCTTATGTGTTAAAAATTTAATATATTCTCATTTTTTAATTATATTCATGAATATTTAATATTAATTCAAATAATTAAAAGTATTAAAAAAAATTATAACTATTTACTCTTATATACGGTGTAACTAGTAAATTTATCTTTTTACCTTTATGATATAAAATTATATTATATAAAATAAATATTATGTGGACATTTAATTTTCAATTATTTGTACAAATATAATACATAATAAATTATTAAAATAATAATTCATAATGTTATAAATAAAAATATCGTAAATAGTTACATAACTAGTTACATAATATATTGTTTTGACTAGTTATTTTGAGTAACCAATCAGCATGCAGCATTTCGATAAAAGGTTCGTTAGTATGTACTTCACTTACAAGTGGCGTGTATCGATTGTTTTATTGGATTCACGAAAATAACATCGTAATAAAGACATACATGTAATTAATGTTATTTATTCTAATAATATAACAGCAAAGATTATAGTGTATAAATTTCATGTGAATATATTCAATATTTATTATATTATAAATTAACCTATTAAAAAGGTTACGAAAAGGCTATATTATTCAATTTTCTGTTTAAGAAAATATTTAAAATGATGCAATATTGTAATAATTTGGTTTTTGAAAATGAAATAAACGTAAATTAGTTGTTATTTTTGTTTGAAAAAATACATCTATTGCTTCCAATCACTAAAATGCTATTCGATCAATCGATCTATATTTTCTTTAATAATATAGACGTTTGACAGGTAGCCATATTGAATAAAGTTTTATGTGTGTACCAGTGTGTGATCAGTATTATAGTTTCAAATTTTAAATATTCTTTTAATTTTCGCAATAATTTAATAAGTAAAGATAAGTATAGATTATAAATGCATATAAGATTATGCTTCGTGCTATTTTTAGAAACTTAATATGTATAAATATTAAATTCATTCTAGTATAATATAATATTATAAAATATTCTACTGAAAGACAGCAATAGCATGATTTATTCTTTTAATAAAAATACAAATTTCATAATAATAAAATATATAATAATAAGTTTATTAGATTTTAACGTTTCGTGTATTTAATAGTTCAAAAAATTTTAAAATTATAAATTTTAATAAAAATTAGTGATATTTTACGAAATTTAAATTATTATTCGTTAGCTATTGGTCGCCATGATGCTTCGATCTGAATGTTCAGTTTGAACAGTCAAACGGTGGTGACAAGTGGTGAAAAGATTCTAGTGCTCCGTCTTGAAAAATCGACATTAATTGATAGAATAATAAAATATATAATAATAATTTGTTAAATTTCAACGTTTCGTGTATTTGATAGTTCAAAAAATTTCAAAATTATAAATTTCAATAAAAATTAGTGATATTTTACGAAATTTAAATTATTGTTCGTTAGCTATTGGTCGCCATGATGCTTCGATCTAAATGCTCAGTTTGAAGTCAAACGGTGGTGACAAGTGGTGAAAAGATTCGAGTGCTCCGTCTTCGAAAGACATTAATTGGCAGATAAAGGTAAGCAAAATAATAAAAATTAGTATCAAATGATTCCAAATTATGTTTAGTTTTAAAAATTTAATGAAATTTAAGCTAATTTCATCTTTTTTTCCTATAATTTGTTATATAAAAGAACAAACCGGTAAAGTGTAAACGATCTGTTCTTGACAATTTATAATGGTATTTTCTTTGATATTAATAATAAATTCATTAATATTTATTTGTAAATGTGTTCTATCATGCATATATTAGTAAATTATAATAAAAATAATAGGTAGGAATATTTAATATCCGAATAATATTTCATGAAATTTATGCTATTAGATAGCAATTATTAGACGCCATATTGTCGATATAAGAATCCGTTAACGGTTTTAAAATTGATACGTCATGGTGTCATGGCGTCAATTGAAATTCGTATCGTGTATATGATATGTTCAAATTCAATTTAAATTCGAAAATTAAATTATATTTGTATTTAATATTAAAAACGGTTCATAAAAATAATTAAATTATTTTTATATTATGATTCTTTCAAGTTATTATTTATCATAATAAATTATTATTTTTTATATTTTATTTAGATTGCACTTGAGCAATTACAACAAATTCCTCTTTCATACGAAAGCTGCAAATAATGAAGGAAGCGATAAATACCTCTATCTTCGAAATTCAGTGACGTGGTGACAAGGACTGCTGACATCATGCTTCATTACTTTTATACCAGAATAAAGAAATAGTTGGCAGTTTCGGGTGCAACGGTATGGGTGAGTGATGCCAATGCATGCTTATAATTTTTTGCATGAATTTAAATCGAATTGATGTTCAATAAAATTTAAATTAAATTAAATTTGATGTTAATGCATGATATGAATATACATTTTTCAAAGTATTTATGTAGTTATAAATCTCAATTAACATCGATTATCAGTTAAATATTTTAAGTTGTAAAATAAATTTCTTGAATCTATAAATAATATCGATAAATTTTATTTCCAAATAAATAATTTTAAATATGTTTCATTGATAAATTTTAATAATTGCAAATATATATATATATAATATGAAATGAGGTCAAATAAACGGTTAAAAAAATCAGATATTGCAAAGAGTTCATTGGCCAAATCGTTTCTGAGAATTAAGGCTTCTTTTGTCCGATCTTTGGTCAAACAATTAATTCAGGTATTTCACGAAGACCCTATATTTGACCTAGATACAGGGAAAAGTAAATCTACCACACGATCTAACAGAAGTTGTCTAGAACTCTGTGTTTTTATCTTTTTATGTTTTGTTTTGGTTGACGACGATGCGTCTCATCTTCACCATTTTTATATTTATTTGTATACTTCTTTTATTTTATCTTCTCGATACTCTGTTACTTTTGCGTGGAAATATAATTGCTTTGTAAATTTTTGCTTTGATCAATATAATTTTTCTTTTTCTTTGTTGAAACTTAAATTCTTTTATTTGATTCTATTCTTCTTTTTTCTATTGGAAAGGAAAATTGTTACAAGAAATAGAAATTCATATAAAATTCTAATAAATTAAACAAGTTTTTTTGAAATAGCTACAGAATAAATGTTATAAAAATTAAAAAAGATAAAAAATTTTAAAGCAATATAATTAATAACTTTATTAGAATATATGAAACAAAGTTTTTTTTTTTTCTTAATATTTTAGTTAATATAGTTTCTAGAAATGTACAAGTAATATAAGTTTCAAGTTTGATTAATGAACATAAAATTTAGGTATCGTTAAGAGACTATGTTTGCTTTGACAACGTTTGAGGTTAGTCTTCAGTAATGTTTGCCAATTTGCAAACTACCATGACGAGAATCGTTTGTGGTTGATCAAAATTATGTATCGAAATATAACTTCATTTCAGTTACATGTGGTTAATGAACTGTACAAACTAAATCATTTATTAAGTAATAATTGTATTATTCACAATTACATTAATTTTATAATTTTATATAATTAAAAATATATTTTACTATAGATCTCTCATCTTGAAATACTTGCAGGGAATTTTTTAATATTTTTCTAATTATGAGATCTATACGAAAAATTATATCTAATTTTCTAAAATATTTTACATAATTTACATATTATTTGAACAAATTTAGAGTTAATAATTTATGTCGACATAAAATTTAACTCATGATTGCCATACACGATTATTAATATAAAAATATATTAACGAATATCATTTTTTCGGCTTATAAACATTCCATTTTGCCAATATGTCGTCGAGTTCGGTACACTTTTCTCGTTCTGGTACATTGTTGCGTAGCGGATGATCGGTTAGATGAATTTTATGGATCAGTGCATTATCGCTCGATATGCTATTTACCTTAATGAAAAGTGAGATTAATTTATTAAAAAAAATAACAATATCATCTGAAAGTTTAATTCAGATAGAATATTCAGTTTATCTAATAGTTTAAGAAATTAAAATTAATTAACTATAAAAGATTATACGATAAAAATAATTTTCTTTCTCGAGGGAGGATATATATTTATAATTCGAAGTAAACTAAAAAAAAAAAAAAAAAAAATAAAGAAAAGCAATTATTAAACGAAAGTAATAAATTTTAAATATAATTTACCTCTTTCTCAGATTCCATCTTTTCTGTAGTTAATGTATCATTAGAGGAAGTTGAAGTTTTGGAGGAATTTCGTATTATTTGTTTAAATTTATTTAATCTATACGTTTCTTGAGAATTATTGTTATAATTTGTTAATTGTGTGTACGATTGATGCTTCATTTCTTTTGAATAATTTTGAATGGCATATAACGTACCTAAAACCGTGAAAATATATAAATCAAACAATTAAATTTTCCAATCCCGATTAAATTTGGAATATAAACGAGAAAAAAATATTAGCGCATTTCTAACGTATTGTATTTGTGGTTAATCGTACAGCCATTCTTTATTTGCACAAAAATTTAAACATTGAAAAATATTTCCTCTCAATCGTTACGTTCTCATTTACTGAATAGATATAAAACGTATACTTTTTGTTTCCGTCGGATATATTTTGTTTACGAACTGAACTACATCTCAGTATTCTACGTTTTATACGCTACATTCAAATTTTTTTCTCGATATCCACCCGCCTATGTGGATTCTCAACGGATAATTCAAACCATTCTCGAATATTTAAATTCGAGATTAGAGAATGAGAATCGAATCCGTATCGTTTCGTTATCTTATATCTTAATAATCTTTTGAAACGACAACAATTGACCCCGTAATTTCGACGAGTATTTAATTTGTATTTATTTAAAATTTTCTCGAGTATTCGTTTAAATATTATCCTAAGTCGCAGAGAAAGTGCAAAGAATACTTTTAATACTTGTGCGATGCGCGGACACGAGCGGTATCCGGTGCTTCCGTGAAGTACATTGTTCTTTTTGCCGCCGTGGCATTTACTATCGTGTTACCTATGCCACGGTTGCGTGACGTTAACATTTATTTATCTGGCCGGGTTGACGCCGGGTTAACTAATATCAGACACCAGATATCAGACGAATAAACAGAGATCTGTGGTCGATGGTAACCGAAGACATTTTACGACACCACAGTCCCCCGGCTTCCTGTTCCAAGGTTGCTCGCCTAAGCACACGACATTGTTCGTAATGATCTATTTTCCGTCGCCGATCGATCGGAATCTATTTCATACGCGGAAGAACGTATCTCCGCCATCGGGGCAACCGTTATGAGAGAGATAGGCGTGCTCGATTTATTCCTATTTTTACTCGGAGAAGTTTTCACTAGAATTTCGAGTTTTTTGCGCCCACCGATATCTCCTCGCCGTATAAACGGCCAAAGACGCGACACACTTCACCACTTTATTTTATAACGTAATTTCCGTGATACTTATATTCACCAAGTTTACGATTCTCTGTATCTTTGTTCCATCCATCGAGCACAACCGGAGTTGGTATTAACTGTTTGGTAGAATTAGATCGATATCATTACGAGGCCTGTAGGCCTCTAATTGATACGATACCTGTTTTATGGAGTCCATAGAACGAGACGTAATTGCAGGATCGGGAAGGAAATCGCGGATCTGCGATGCGAAAGATAATATCTTTACGATATATACACGGTGGTTTATGGTGTTGGACAAACATTGTTGATCGTGAGACGCGAAGTTAATTAAAATGCAGCGAGTAAAAAGCAGATATATATATAAAATAGTAGATCGAGACAAATATCTAGATATTCTTTTCTTTTATTTTGAACAGATCGTACTATTTGCGGTCTTTTCCATATAATAAAATTCATTACGATGGCGAAGTTATTGCATGTCTTGCGGTCGGATGTAAAGCAGAGAAAGCAGAAGAAACACAACAAATCAAAGCGTAAATCTATCTCGTATATTATACGCTCTCGACACGCGTGCGTTTTCCGCGATATTAGAAAACAACATACTCTATGTGTGCACGACACGCGTCTCGATAACAAAGCCCTATAAAAAATTCTTATTTCTCTCGCTCGACGAGAAAAGGGAGAAATATCGATATGACGAATCAAATGAAATTTCGATATTCGTTATTTCTCTCGTATATTCATACCGTATATATCGTTCAGAAGTCTTTCTCTGATATATAAATCACGAAATCTCGTGTCGTTATAGGGTGCCGCGCGTAATCAGCGCTATTATTTAATGAGCCAGCAACACTGGCACGCTTTAGCCCCGGTTTCACGTAATTACGGGAGTCAGGGAGCTTAATAGAACGTGGAACGGCAGCTGGCCTACGACGACGATCTCGCGGCGGATAACGATAAACGCGGCGGATCCAGGTATAGAAGGCGAGAGGCGGGCGAATTAACCGATAGAACGAGCAGCGGGAGTAGGCGCGTAATAATGATCGCCGCGCGCATAAATTTAGCGAGGAGACGAGGCGAGAGAGAGGGAGAAAATCCTAGCCGAATAATCCAAACGTGATGAATGGCAACCGGCTTTACTTTGGAACTGGTCCACGCGCGCTCGCTCGGCCACGCTCGGCGCGACATGCACCGTCGAATCTGGCGACGAAACGTTCTAACACGTTTCGACGTTTGACATATGCACCCACGTGCACCTGCTGACGTTTCCTCAACTCTCTGTCGCGCCGATTATTCGCGAAAACGAGTCTATTACTCGTCTCTGTATATATATGCGCATAATAAGAATAATTCCTCCAAGAAGAATCCATAAAATCCCATTTTCCACTAAATAAGAACGTAATTCGAGTTGCAGAGGGTACGTAAGATAGTAGGATAGCGGACGATGCTGGTTAAGATGGGGTAGAAATGTTCGAAGAATATACGGGACGTAAATTAGGGATCTAAGGGGTGTTCGATTCGTTTCGTATCGCGATCACGCGCGATAATAAAAGACGGCCGGCCGTTGCCAAAATCAGATGTTCGTTACAAGAGCTGTCCGTTCTTAAGCGAGCCGCGGCAATCTGATAAGTAGAAAACTAATGTTCCGCATTCGGAATGCGATCCGCTTTGGAATTCTAGTCTTCCGGGGAGGTCGAGGAAGCCCGTTTGGCAAAAGTTTCTGCCCGATATCTCCCCGATCGATGCCTCGCGCTCATTCTTTCCGGCCAACTTTGCCAAATGGGGATTTCTTTCACCGAACAGAGTGATTTATCGCGGCTTGCCGGGCCGCGCTGCAAACTTATTTTTCATCTCCTTACTTACCCCTCCTCTGCTGAATCATCCACCGACATGTTTCCAGATTTACTGGAAACACAACTGTTTTCAGATTTGAATTTTAACGCGTTCGTTGCTCTTTCTTAAATCGCGATCGGGAATCCCGAGTTTCGTTCGAGTGCGTCGACTCCTTTGTGCATCGATTCCGCGTTAACCGAGTAATTTCTAAACGATTTGATCACGCTTGAAACGCAATATTTCACGCAATTTTCTTATTTAATCCCTCAGGGATCGATACGGAACACGCCTTTTAATTTAATCTAAAACGTTATTATGAATGTTTATTCCTGTCTCGGATGAAAAGGAAAAAAAAAAAAATAAAACAAAACTTTCGAGGGTTAATAAAATGAAGGCGTACGGTATTAGTACACAGTGGCTACAATTGTATCGTAATTGTACCGTCGACGTTACGGCGAAACGATATTAGATAGGCACGCTAGGAGCAGGCACGCGTGTTATTCCGAAACAGATAACCGTGTATAACATCGGGTTGTAAACACGTGCATCACTATGCAAGAAAATACAACGTCATGACTGTATCTGGTAAACTTTAGTTAACCGCATTAATATGCGCATAAACGATAGTTCTATCTAATTGGAGATAGAATTATTACGGGGAAACGAGATAGTGAGAATAATTTATAAGAATAAAATGTCATTCCGTCTAATCTTGCGCCATTAGTCTCGAGCAGAGGCTATTTGTTATTAAATTGTCCTTTATGCAACCGCGTCGTTGCCGCAAAAATAAATTAACTTTGAAACATCTCGAGTTGTGTTGCGCTCGTATTCCGATCGGGCTATAAATTATCTTGATTATAAAACTTGCGTGTATCGATTATATTCTACCATTGCGATTTAATGAAGCGGTTAGACAATTTTTATTCGTTCCATTTCAACGAGATACCGTGGCAGTTCTTCCCTACAGGAATAATAAATTGTTAGAGATTACGATCGATAATAAAATTACTTTTCCATTTATTTTCTCAAACGATTCCTCGATACACGCGTAATAAATATTTATACGAGCGCGAATATCGTCGTAAAAATACAGATTCTTTGTAAGAGTGATTTAAAATTTGTTGCCGCAACGAATTGGACAAGGTCTCGGGATTTGTTGATAAAACTCGCGAAAGTACGGTAAATATTAGAGTCGAATGTTTTACAAGCAACCGAACGGTTTAATCGCGGCCCGCGATAAAACGCATCCCGAAATAACAATCATAGCTCATAGCGACATTGCATAATGCGGAGCTCGGGTTGGAAAAATGAAGCAACGCAAGTCTATATTGCAGGCGCCAAGATTCCTAGATAGCCTTTACCTCTGCTCCTCTTTTTCCCGTACTAACCACCCTTGTCAGACTCGCTACTCGAACGCTCTGGGAGGCAATTTATTATTCCTTCTCGCATTAAGTTACAGTTCCGCCGATCTTTGATGTTTCTTGTCATTTACTGTTACAGCATTCGTTACGCCATCTCCTCGACGGAAATAAATATAGTATTTGAAAATAATAGAGAAATATTCGCCCTTTTTCCGATTTCTTCGTCGCGATAATTTGTATCGATAAGAAGATGCTCTCCGAAAATATATATATATATATATATATTTTCCTAGGATAAATCCACGATGCTTTATTTGTTCAGAGACAACGACGATCGATCATTTTGATCATTTTCGAAGAATTGAAAAATTGTACGATATCATCTGTTATTGGGAATTGGGCGACGAAAGGGAAATTGAAATATTTCTGTAAAAGAAAAAACTTGGTGAGAAGTGTCGTGCCTTCGTGTCAATTTGCACAGCGGAACGTATAGATTTAACGAGCGTTTCCCGAACAGAGGAAAATGGAGCATTACGAGATTCTTTCAACGGCGCCAAGATTCCGCCGCTATTTTTAATCCTTAAGCTTCCCCGTGTCGAGCACCGGGCTGGAAAGCGCTCGTATTTGGAAATTCCTCGAATTCTTCCACAACAATCGCGCCGATCGATTCCAGTTTTTATCTCGGAGAACGGTTTAAGAGATTTAAAAAGCTTTCGACCGTACCCGTTCCAATACGAGGAAATGGATCGAGCTTTTACCCTAATCCCACGTTTCATCGTGACAAATCTCGCAACCGCGAAGAAAGATGAAAGATAAGCAAGAGAGGGTCCAGTTTTACGGCTGAACTTTCTGAACTTCCTGTGTCGTCGCACAATGTGTTTATGGCGCCAATTACGTATCGCTGTGCCAAAAGAAAGAAAATTAAGCTTCTAATAATTTCGCGAATAATGTTTTCCACATCATTTCCGTTGCCGTACATTGCAATAACCGCTCTTATCAATTACGAGAAATGCTCGATTCTCAGGGGAACAATCTTCCAACGA